TGACTAAATAAAGGGCGTCAATGTGATCGTGCACACCAACGCGAAAAACGCCGGGTGTAAAAGCGTCATTTAAAAAAAAAATGCCTCATGCTCAGTTTTTTTTTTTTTTGTTTTGACCTGCCACGTCAAACCCTTATCCATCAATCAGGTTGGCACTTTTGTTCACGTGTACTAAGCTGCTGAAGTTACTGTAAACAGCACGTGGAGGCACTCAAGCGCAAAACTGTCAATGCGAGCGGACATTGAAGAAGATGCCCAGAGGCGATATGAATGTGGAGCTGCTTATTGCACTGATGAACAATCATTAGATAGATTAATTAATTGCAATGTAATTTTTTTAAATTATCTAAACTAGAAAATTAAAATATCCTGTTAAAAAGTGTAGGCTAATAAATGTTTTATTTTGACTGCAGATGATTTGAACTGCTGGTTTTGTCTGACCAAAGGTGAACTACACAATGTAAAACTGTAATTGACGCAATAGCATTGTGTAAAGCGCGATATGAATCAGCATATTTAATCCTTGCGCTATTTTAAGTGAATGTAAATGGAGTTGAGAATCGGAGTCGACTCCAAAAAACCTGTAACTGAACACCCCTAGTGCCTACTCTCAATCTCTCACACACACATAAACAGCAAGATGTACTCTGAAATGCACACGTGCATAATAATCATGCTTAACATACATGCATAAACGTGTATTAAACCCTTTTACTCAGCAGTTTACATGTGTTTGTTGCCTCATTACAAACAAATGCAGCAATTCTTAATATATACAGGTTAAAAAATCAAAGATGCATTTAAACAGACCTTGTGACCCTTTTGGGGGTGTTAAATACATTTTTAATCCGTATATCAGAGCATTACAGTAATCCAGCCTAGAAGTCATAAAAACATGGACAGTTTTTCTGCATCTGAGACGGATAACATACTTTGTAACTTACCGATATTTCTCAAATAAAAAAGGCAGTTTTTGTGACATGGGATATTTGATTTTCAAAACTTAAATAGCTCTCTAATACAACACCCAGATCTTTTAAAGATCACCTATCAATCAAACTTCCTGTGGAGGGTCATTTCTATTTTTGTTTAATTCCTGCTTACAACATTGGACTTTGGATTGAACATCAAAGAACATGCATATTAAAATGTCTTCTCTTTAAAGTACTGCTGCTATAAATCAGTGAATCAAGGAAAATAACCCAGAAAAATAAACCTCAATAAGAGATGAGATGGTTATTGGCCAACCTGCTAGTCCACCCATCTAACCAATCCCTACATCAAATGAAGAGCTTTAAATGATGCAATCTTTGTTTTTCCACCTTTAATTGCTCTTAAACTATTTCCCTTAGGGTTGTTTTAGGAAGCCGTTGACATAAAGCTATGGATTGGGCTTTTTTATTTTTGTATGTGAAAGGGCGTTGAGATGTTAGGCTGATTCCTGTTGACTGCCTCCCTCCCGTTCTCTTGCCGAGAGGAATGTGGACTAACCGGTTACTCAGGCCTGCACATGACTTACCGATGACTGGCTTTGCTCACTTCTGCCCCCCTCCTCCTCCTCCCTTGTTCTTGGCTCTAATGGAGCTTGTCATTCCAAGAAACCATAAGCAAAATATTCAGCAGGTGTAAATCAGGGATTTGCCGTTATTGTGGTCTTTGGGACTTGGTGAAGGTCCCCCTCCCTGTTACAAGTGTTGCAAATCATTGCATTCTTTATTGGCTCATAATACTGTTACGGTGGTTTGGTAGTGGAAGTTGCCATAACTAATTGCTCCTGTATCAGTTGGCTTCAAATTTTAGGAAGCATTTTCTGCAAAGTCTATTTTTCAGAGGCCAGTTCCGGTGGGAAGTGTGTTGGATGTCTGTTTTGGTTTAAAATAATTATGGTGGCTTGAGAAAGTTGAAAACTGTTATACTTCATAAACTTCTTCTTCTTAGACTATTTTAAGAACACATCTCTTCCTAGAGTGCTTCTAAGCTGCAATATCTTTTCCAACTGATTGGACTAACGCTTTTCCGAAAACTGTTCTGAAAAATTTGGAAAAGTTCCATTGACTTAACATTGGACCAAACTTTGTGACCTCATAACTTTGCCCCAGACTGTCATACAGACTTAGGGTTGGGCTTATTTAACTCAAACTGCCAATTTGCCAATCACTGATGACCATTCAACTTACTAGCCACACCCTAGCAACCACTTACGGCACCCTAGCAACTGTCCCATAGACTTCCATTATAAAACACTGCCATTAACTTTACATTGGGCATACTGAAAACACACCAATTATACTAACAATGTACTAATCCATAGAAACATACTAACAACATACCAATCCATTCTGGAAACATACCAATCCATACTAGAAACATAACAATTTATGCTGGAAACATACCAGTCCATACTGGAAACAAACCAATTCATACTAAACACATGCTAACATATTTGTACTTATCAATGCCGACTGTAAAAGCTACTTCTGTTATTTACACTTCAAAACGACTTCAAACTTTCAGACTAGGCTTTCTTAAGCCACCATAAAGTTTGTCTATGAACTTTACTATTCTAGTTAATTTTATACAGTGTTTCTTACAGACTTACACTGTATACTGTATATAGTTGCATTTCCCCAAGAGAAAATATATAGCCCAGGCTCATTGGACATTCCTGTCTCAGCCTATTTATTATTTATATATTTTTTTCAAAATGGAAACTACATTGCTCTGGGTTCATTTAGTTATACATTTCAGATGACAAATCCACTAGAGGGCGATGTCTGCATTTTATCGAATCTGAAGTCTGAAGTTTATATGCTACTTGTACATGTCTATGAGAAGGTCAGTCTTGTCGCACAAATAACCTAGCGAACAACTGACCTGAACACTTCCTTAAACCCAAACAACAGTGCTTGAAAAGCAAACGCAAGAGAAAAATGCACTGTGACCAGTAGTTTACCTTGATTTTACATTGATTTGATCTGTTTTCTGAAATCGTGCTTCACCAAACTCAAACTCAAGCACTCTGCATCACATGTACAACACTGAGCTACTGAGTACCATTAAAAAAGAAAGTTGTCCATAATGACATAATAAGACAAGGCAAACATGTGTGATTTCAAATCATAGACGTTAGGGCTGCTCGAATTATGGGAAAAATCTAAATCACGATTATTTTGGTCATAATTGTAATCAACCGATAATCGTTTTGAATAATCGTGAAGTCAAAATTATTCGCCCTTTTGTGAATTTATTTTTATATATAAATATTTCCCAAATAATGTTTAACAGAGGATTTTTTTACATTATTTCCTTTGACATTTTTTCTTCTGGAGAAAGACTTTTTATTTCGGCTAGGATAAAATCAGGTTTAAATTTTTTGAAACCTATTTTAATAGCTTGATATTATTAGCCCCCTTAAGCAATATATATTTTTGATTGTCTGCAGAAGAAACTACTGTTATATAATGACTTGCCTATTTACCCTAATTAAGCCTTTGAATGTCACTTTAGGCTGAATACTAGTAGCCTATCTTAAAATATATCTAGTCAAATATCAAGTACTGTCATCATAGCAAAGTTAAAAAAGAAATCAGTTATTAGAAATGAGTTATTAAATCTGTTGTTTAATCTGTGCTTCAAGCATGTTCACTGTAAGAAAAACACTTTAGCTACAAAAGTCCTTCAGTCAAGAGCAGTAAGAGATTTTCTCCTTTTTTTATTAATAATAAAAACAGACGGCAGCAGTAATATTTGCACGCTATCACTTTAAGAATAGTGCGGCTCTGATATGATTACTCTTTCACATGTCTTTTGATTCTCAACTCGTTTGTTTATTAAACAAATGAGGGTTAATACGAAAAATCACTACACACCGCTCTCTGACACAAATGTGCATGTAGCCTATTTGACCAATAAAGTGCTCACATTAAAGCGCTAGATGTGTGTGTGCTCTGCTGTCCAAGGCTCAGCGCGCACACACACACAAACACACACACACACACACACACACACACTACCTGTCCGAGGCTAAGCGCGGCACGCACACACATAACAGCACATGCTCTTTCGCACTTTTAAAAATATGAATGATGCGCATCCCGTGCTGGAGATGTTACATTACTGCACACGCTTTTATTCATTTTCACGTGGCACTGAGCTTTGCAGAGCAACAAATGTGTACAACTGGAAAGGGGGTGGTAAATGATAGATGGTTAATCGTTTATCTCGATTAACTGTTTTTCATAATTGTTAGAAGCCGAAATCGAAACTGGATTTTTGTTTAATTGCACAGCTCTAATAGACGTCGTTGTTTTGTAGTATTCATTTGGTGTTGTGCACTAAAATAATTATTTATTCCTAAATAATATGTCCATAAGGCAATGTAATGGTGCAGTAGGTTGTGCTGTCGCCTCACAGCAAGAAGGTCGCTGGGTCGCTGGTTCAAGCCTTGGCTCAGTTGATGTTTCTGTGTGGAGTTTGCATGTTCTCCCTGCTTTCGCGTGGGTTTCCTCCTGGTGCTCCGGTTTCCCCCACAGTCCAAAGGCATGCGGTACAGGTGAATTGGGTAGGCTAAATTGTCCCTTGTGTATGAATGTGTGTGAATGAGTGTGTGTGGATGTTTCCCAGAGATGGGTTGTGGCTGGAAGGGCATGCGCTGTGTAAAGACGTGCTGGATATGTTGGCGGTTCATTCCACTGTGGCGACCCCGAATTAATAAAGGGACTAAGCCGACAAGAAAATGAATAAATAAATAATATGTCCATGTAAATATCATTAGTGTGAAAAGGAACACAAGTTGTTGGTGTCATACTGCCCCTAGTGTTCATTTTACCAGAAAATTTATGTTTATGTACGTTTTTGCGGTTTCACAAGCATGTCGGCTGAAGCACATATTTAAGTTGATTTTTGCATTGGCCTGAAGAAAAACTGAATAACATTTTTAAAAATGTATGTTACTAATTGTTCTCGCAGCCAATTGACTGTTTTTTTCTGTCTTTCATCAGAATTGATCATAAAGTGTCCAGTGCCTCACATGGCTACAAACTGCATGAAGCCCAGGCCATCCTGAAGGAGGTGAAGTCCATCAAAGATGCCATCAGCTCGGGAGAGAAGGAGAAGCAGGAGCTCATGCGGGTACGAATGAAGCTTATCCTTTGACAACATTTATTCTTATCTCAGTACATTTCTCAATCTTTGTCTTTAAACATTACCCAGGTTGCAAAAAGACAAAAACGTTTTACCTTAAAATAATAAACTATTAGTTATCACCATACTTTTCCAATTGATTGATTGTGTTAAGTGCAAACAGGTATATTTTTACACCTGCCTTATTTAGTTTGGTTAAATCACACTAGAGTTCCCTTTCCCTCTTGGTGCAGTTTGTTTGGGTAGGTGTGTAGTATATAGTAACGATAATGTATATGATGTAAACAAACTATATAATAGACTATGAGCAGAGATTCAATCAGCCTGCGCAGTTGTCCTTCCATTGAAAAGTGACATTTTGTGTCTGCTGGTTTGTTTACTTGCGGGAGTTCCATTGGCATTTTCTCACACATTAATTCTGACCAATCAAAAAGCAGTTTAGAAAATACTTTTAATAACATCTGGCCAATGGGTGATGTGGATTTTGTCACATGACTGCATTTTGGTTCTTTTCAGCTTTGGTTCTTTTCAGACCAAAGCAATCAGTGTGGTGTGAAAAGGACCTAAAAACGGAAGAAAAATGCTACAATGTAGCATTTGTTGCCCTTGGTCCAGACCAAATGAACTGAACCACAGATGTGAAAGCACCCTAAAATACTTAATTTTTTTTAAATTTTTTTTATTTTTTATAATACATTTTTTAGGGGTTTTTACCTTTAATCGATAGGACAGTAGAGCGAATAGACAGGAAAGCATAGGGAGAGAGGGGAAGGACCATGAGGGGGAATCGAACTTGGGTCGCCGTGAGCACCGGAGTGCATGTGTCGACGCAATAACTACTACACCACTGTCGCCGACGCCCTAAAATATTTTTACGTTAAGTGCACACAAGTTTTTAAAATTTTTTTATATTAATGATAATTATATAGGGAGACTCGGTGGTGCAGTAGGTAGTGCTGTCGCCTCACAGCAAAAAGGTTGTTAATTTGAGCCTCGGCTGGGTGAGTTGGCATTTCTGTGTGGAGTTTGCATGTTCTCCCTGCGTTCGCATGGGTTTCCTCCAGGTGCTCTGGTTCTCCCCACAAGTTCAAAGACATCCAGTACAGGTGAATTGGGTAGGCTAAATTGTTTGTAGTGTATATGTTTGAATGAGTGTATGGGTGTTCCCCAGTGATGGGTCGCAGCTGGAAGGGCATCCGCTGAGAACCGCTGGATAAGTTGGCGGTTCATTCTGCTGTTGAGATCCCAGATTAATAAAGAGACTCAGCCGAAAAGAAAATGAATGAATGAATAATTATTTATTCCCAGAGATGGGTTGCAGCTGGAAGGGCATCCACTGCGTAAAAACTTGCTGGATAAGTTGGCGGTTCATTCCACTGTGGTGACCCCAGATTAATAAAGGGACTAAGCCGACAAGAAAATGAAAGAAATGATAAATAATTATTGAATTTATTATTAATAATCACATATCAATTAATTAATCACACTTATTTGAACAATTTTCTAGCATAAACATCATAAGCATTGGATAAAGTCAAGTTATATGAGACATATTAGAATCAGATATATTTTTACAGAAGTCTTTTTATTAGCCAGAAACAAAGTTGAGTGAAACATATAATCAGGCAAAATATTTATAGCATAATCCTATGCAAAAACCTTCAGAATATAGATTAAAAAAACGTCTGGGTATATAAGTACTGCTGAAGTGGAGAGTTATTAAAAAGAATAAATACATGGAGAAAACTGCCTTAAAAAAATCTGTATTGCAGTTAAGTTCTACACACACATTAAGAGGTTGCAAGAAATGACACTTTAAAGTGTATTATAGTGTATTTATGAAAAGCCCCAAAGAAATCTAAATCTAAAGATTGACAGGTACATGAACCAATATTGTTTCATCTTAAAAGGATAGTTCACACAAAGCTGAAAATCCTGTCATCATTTACTCCTTTTACCTATTTCTTTCCTCTGCTGAACACAATAGAATATATTTTGTACAATTTTAGAAACCTACAATGGAAGTACATTCTTCAAAAAATCTTATTTTTTTGTTTGTAACCACCTGAGGGTGTGTAAACAGTAAATAAATGCTCAATATTCAATGAACTATCCCTTTAAGAGTGATCTGGGAGCACATTCCTCTTTGCTTTCATCATTAGGGCATTTTTGTATCTCATTTCCCGCTGTACTTGTGCACATGAGGCAAGTGAACCTCCATAATGGCAAAGTACACACAGAAGTAGGCACATTGATCTATCCAAATAAAAGTGCAGTGAAGTGCTACACTCGCTGAGAAACTGTAGCCAGTCAGATTAGCATAATAAGCGGATGTATTTGTGCTGATAGGAGTGGCTTTTACAGAAGATGAAAAATACAAGCACATTCTCTTCCCGTCATTATTTGTCTCTTACCCAAACAAAAATGTGTGTGAATATTTGACATAATGAGGTTAAGTAATGGCACGTAGAAGCTAGGTGTTTAACCTTTATGAACCATGCCGCTTTTTATTGTTTTCACATAATAACTATAAATTTCGTCAGACAAAAAAAGTTTGTTGTCTATGGCTGGAAACAAACAGAATCTTGACAAGTATGCTGTGCAAGTAAATTGACTGAATACTATGAATGCATGCACTCCACTGTTGCCAACTATTTTTAAAGAGGTGGTCCAGAATGTAATTTTAAGGCTTGGTTGTGTTTATAAGATGCAAAGCAATGTGTGTTTATGTTTCTCTTGAAGAAAATCGCGTAATTTTTTCAGATATCTCACTTTGATTATACACAGCTACTCAGCTAACATGAAAACGACTTTCATATTTCCTAGTTCCTCTGAAAGGCCCGCCTTTAAGTGACTCTGATTGGTCATCGTCATAATGTGCTGCTATTCGCGGATCGGCTCCACGTCACGCCCGTAAAAGCACGCGCTTTTCTGCTGTGTAAACATGCAGTCAACCTCCTGCCTGCTCTAAAATAACATCTGACAAGTGTCTGTAACAAGTGAAAATGGGGTGCGGCTCCTTTAACAGCGTTTGTGTTTGTGGTGTGAATGTGTGAAATTTCTGTAACAAGCGAGACTTTCTTTTTCTCTGATGCTCGGATTAAGTTATTTTCTGTAATATATCGTGAAAGAAGAATAAAGCACAAGATGTGGTATGCTACCTGTTGAGCCTTGATTTATTATTCTGCTCCGACCTCGAGTCAGGTAAGCTAACCTGTATTTTTTAACTCTATGCGTTACACAACGTCTTTCATGTGTATTCGGAATAAGCAGGTGTAAGAAATATGAATCATCCACATATATTTTGCGACTTCATCATCTGAGATGTGAAACACAAGCTGCCTGAAGACAATCAGTGCAGTCCCGTGCGCGTACACACATAAGAGACACGAACGTGCTGGTGGAGTGTGTGTGTGTTTACAGCAGTTTGACTGATAAATATGAATTTGTAGCTAAATCGTTTGCCCGCAAAGCAGCATTTTGCATTTTTTACATCATTGCTACAGCATACCGTTAACACTAGACACTGTACATGTCACAATCAATTTTAACAAATAAAAACACTTACTTGTAGCTTACAACTTCTGCTTTGAGGAGATTTTAGCCGAATCCAGCCCTGAACTGGGAGAGATTCTGGAGCTGTTTTGTCAAATCATGCTTGCTGTGTGTTTTATAATTCTCTGGAACATAATTAATATTGAACTGTAAGCACTTCTGTCTTTGTGTTGTGTTCTTTGGAAGCCCAAATACAGAAACAGACGAAGCTCTGTGGAAGCAGCCGTGCTTAGACGCATTTTTAGCTTCATCTCTGCTATAATGTTACAGTGCCTCTGGCCACGGGCCTTACCTGCGCTGTGTGGGATGCACAGTAAACAAACTTGTGATCTCAAAGGGGGAAGTATTTTTTGTAGTCCCCAAAATTCGTTCATTGTAGGCTTTGCTAAGCTAACTCTGTAAAATCCAAGGTCTCCCTTTGCATTGAACTTAGAACTTTTTACATTCAGAGATGTTGTTTATGTTCACACAGCTACATTACACATCAACTAAAGTTTAAAATATGAGATCGTAGTGGACCACCCCTTTAATGAAAAGGTGCTAAGCTCTGCCCGAAAAGTCACTAAAAGTATCTCGATTACATAATTTGTCAATTTGCATATTACTGACATCATCACGTTCTACCGTTTCTGTTTGTTTAACAGCCTATCGTTAGTAAAGGGGTGTTTATATTTGCACTATGCTTTATATATGCATGTCAGTTTAACTAAATTTATTGCTGCTTGAATACAATATTTCAATATGTGTAGTGAATTTGCAGTAATCTCTCAGATGTAATAAACTCAGACAAAATACAAAACTGTCTCTAAAATATCTGTGATTGTGAACAAGAAAAGAATAAATGGTCAAATTAAATAGTTAAAATAAAGGAGAAGCACATCGGTTTGACTCTACAATGGAAATACCTCACACTGCTGGTGTTAAATCATTTGCCGTTGGTATGCAAAGGGGTGATCTGGTCTCAGGCTGCAGGTGGGAGAGGGTGCTGTATGAGGATTGCGTCACCTGTCAGTGCTCTGAGGTTGGGAAGGGACCGACGGCATCACCCGGAGCTCGCAGAGAAGACTAGGGACGGTACATGGACACATGAATGTCTATAAATATCTCCAGTAACACAAAAAAATTATAGATTTGGCGCTAGTCGCTTTTTAAAAATTTGTCTCTAGGGGGTCTGAAAAGTCGCTAAATATAGTGACAAAGTCGCTAAGTTGGCAACACTGTTGAACTCAGATCCACTCATCTAATGATTGAACAGCACAATTTAGCAGTCCAGCAGATATAACAAAAGATAATCTTTGTTAGTTTTTATCATTTTGACTACATTGTTGTCTCGTCTTTTTGCTGATGCTGATACAGTAAGGCCCAATCCCAATTCTATTTTTTTTTTACCCCAACCCTTTCCCCTTGGCCCTTGAAACAGAGTGTGAAGGCGA